CTCCAGCCCTATTTCCACGAGTTTGCTGAACGTGACGAACATATTCCTGGAACGTTCACTGCACCTACTGGTGTGGACAGGCTGCCAGTTTTGTGCACGTTGGCTGAAATTCGTGGCGATTGGAAATTCATCAGGGAACTGTTCAACATGCAGGTAGGTTGGAATTCAACCTTCCTGTGTCATCACTGCTTCGCCCGGAAAGATGACTACCTGGAGTTTCCCCCAAAGTTGGATCGACTGCCCCGGAGAGACTTTGACTCCTTCCTATCAACGACAAGGGTCATCAATGAACCGAGTGACCAGCCTGCATGCGTGCGATGTACATTCATGTATACGTATACATTGCACAAGTATGCGCAAGTGGCCTAAGGTGAAGTGTGCTCAGTGATTGGGTTCCATCACGATATGATTCGATGGTGCACTCTTCACACTCTTCACCTTGGAGTTGTGAACTGGGTAGTGGGCAGCGGGTTTCACATGTTGCTTGCCCAGGATTCGGTGTTCAAAAACACTGGATTTGAGCTAGACACTTTCCAAGCACACCTTTATAAACATCTAGATTTGAACTGGACGCAGGAAGATTTGTGGAGTGACGATGGTGCGGGGATTGAGAAGCGCCTCTTCCAAGCCTACCAACACTTCAATTCATGGACGAAGGCTCACCGCATTCAGCCACTTAGCACTACCTAGTACGTTCAAAGATTGAGCGCACCTAATCGTTCATTTGGTTGACCAATAAGGCATTCCCAACCTTGCTTCAACACCAAGTTCATCAGACCGGTGGACAACAACGCCCACATGGTGGCTGCCAAGGGATGGAACGTGCTTTCGCTGACTGTCATGATATCTGAATTTCTGATACTAGTCCCTAGCCTGTAAAGAAAATCCAAACCATTATGTCCTTGAGGCACGGGTGATTCTGGCTTGGATGTCTGAATTTGTGGTTTCCTATGTGAATGCCTCAGACCAGCGTGGAAGGGAATGGGCATTGCTGCAAGGTTTGGTGCACCTCAACTGCAAAATATCGATTGGCATCTGTTTTTGTCTAGTACAATTCAGGTCTAGGCCTAGGGAACTAGATGAGGCACCACCTGAACTTGGGCATGAAGACCATCGAGTCCTCTCCGCGATACTTGCAGCCAGAGCACGTGGCTGCGATCAAGTTCCACACAGCACCTTGGATCGAATCGCGATATCGATATATATCGATGGAATTTTGTTATAAGGATCGAAATCGATGAGAGCCGGTTTATTTGAATAGATCGGTTGTGTGCATAGCCCGCAAGTTAGACTTAATTAGGCTTCGGCCAGCGTATGCTATGCAGAGTTGGCCACTTGGGCATGCGCCAATTCCTTGAGTCTGTTTCCTTTGCGACCAAAACTTCATGTGCCTCGACTGCAATTAGTCTTGGCCATCTTCTTAAGCGCACGGCATGTTTCTGAAATTGGATGAGAGCAGAATTGGAACACCTTGACCTTGAGGCCTGGATGGAACTGGCCCACTTTGCATCTGTGGAGTGTTTCTAGCTTAAAATCGTGGGTGCAGTTGGTTCAGTTTCATGATATTTGCATGTCTCTCAATGCACAATTAGGCTACAACCCGCGCTTCTATCATACATTCCGTGATGAAGACTTGAACGGAAAGCTGATCCGTTCTCTGGATGCATTTTTTTCATGCAAATCATTCAACGCAAACCAACTAGTGTTGCCCTGTGATTCAACCTGATGAGGAATAGCGAGGGCATCTCATGCCAGAACGATGGAGCGAACTCTGCTGATCAAATTCTACATGTGGGTCCATAGCAATGCCAGGACCCCGATCTGCCGAGCAGTTCGCTTGTTGTGTAAATGAGCTTTTGACAGGAGTCCTGCTTGGATCCATGGTGAACCATGTCAGGACTGGAGACGATGATGCTGACATCATCGGTACGTCATGAGCGATTTCTACTAATTCGCATAGCTTGGTTGTTTCCAACCTCGTCCCACCAGCGGCCAACTTGCAACCAGGGCACCCAGCGATGTGGATGGCAAAGTCGGGCTGCTGCTTGTGGGCTTGTATGTGTGTGGGGGACAGGAGGGGGGAAGGGCGTGATTTGGCGTGATTCGTTGACCCTAAATCTCAAACGCGTCTACAGATGGTCTTTAAGATTAAACGCTTCTGTGGATGATCCTGGAACCCAAACGCATAAATAGGATGTGTTTTGGATCCTTAGGGGAAGGTATGCTCGGTCGCTCTGAGTAAGACGTCTGACAGAGTAATGAGAACATGTTGTTGTGTTTTTATGGCAGGATACTATACAAATTGGATGATCACTTGGAGGAGTTTACTGTTGGGGGTTACAGGTTAAAGCCTCCTGGCATTGTTTGCAGCAGTTGTGCTTGTGAGGTGGTTGCCAAAAAATGTTGAGCACTTTAAACTTTATGGGCTGTTCTAGTTCATTGATTCATGTGGAAAGACAACAATCTCTGCAGACTTGGGATTGTAGGTGTTCTTTGGTCTTTGGGTTGTTAGACGGTTTAGCTGCAGGGCAATCAAAAATAATGCATAGTTGATGAAACGTCAAGAGACGGATGTGGCTGGAGCAGTGTACCATCGTGAAAAAAATACCATTGGGTTTGTGACATTGTGCCGCTTGTGAAAGCCTCGCAGCTTTAGTCCAAATGCTGAGAATGAAAGTCCACAGGACATAGCAGCAACATTCCTGGAATTCTGGTGCGATGGGAGATCGAAAGAATCGAACATCAGACCCCACGAAAAAGCTCCAACAATCATGATTCAAAGGCACAAAGTTTTCCATGGTCTCCTATCTTTGTTTGGCACCACCAATAAGCTTTGAACTGTGTATCGCGGGTAAATAGCCGAGATCGGCCTGAGGACACGTTCAAGATCTATTGGATCAGGCTGGGAGTGTCCAATGCACACCCGGTCCTTATTGACCGCGCTTTGCAGCAACCGTCCCTGGGCGAGTTTTGTCACGTTGTCACGTCGGACAAAGATCCTGAGGTGTTGATTGTCCGTTGTCGTGTTGCTTTTGCCCTTGTTGTAGACGTCCGCGATGGCAGCCCACAACCAAATGCTTTGAATGGTAAGTCAGTGGGGTGTTCCCACCAAACTTTCTGAGATTTGGGGACCCCAAGTTTTTCATCACAGTTCGGAGCACTCAAATCAGCCAGTTTTCTTCACGTAATGCACTTGGTGCCCTGCAGTTTGTGTGTGTGCGCCACGTGTGCCACGGGTGTGCCACGTTGGATCTGGAAGGGTGTGCCACATGTTAAACACCGATGGTATTCGATCGAAGGACGATGACTCCATGAAAAACGTGAGGTCAATATGATACTCAATTGATTTGATGACAGTTGAGTGACATTTGAGTGACGAGGCCTTCTAGCATAAGTAGCATACCGTCAAGTTTAAGATGTGTGTGTTCTCTCTTATTCTTTTGCCATTTGTCTGAGGTGCAGCTCAGCATGACAGAGTATTGTTATTGTTCTCCCTTTGCTTCGGCCCGTGAACTAGGTTGCGACATACAGTAGGACTTGTTGAGACGTGCAACAAGTGGCAAGTCGATGAATCACACAAACAGAGCATCTGAAACATGGGTTCAACCATGTCTGCAGAGTTATCACGGGCATCGAAACCATATCGAAACCCTGCAACGAACGCGGATTCGCCGCCGCGCCACGCGGATTCACCGCTGCGGAAGGTCACACCACTCCGAGCGGCGGTGCCCCCACGCTTCTGCATTCCTCTCGCCCGAAGAAGGGCTCCGGCTGAGCCCAAAGATGGCGCGGCCAAAAGACTGAGCGAACCGAACGAAGCGTGGAGCCATTTTTTCGGCGGAACCACGGCTTAGGGAAGCATTGGAGAGCAACTGTTTGCTGAAGGTTTGCTGTTCATCATTGACTTGCAGAGGGCGAAGCATGCGGCATGCATATATCCGCCAATGTGTGGGCCTACGCCCACTGCGTGTCACACCCCGATTTTCGATCTCCATCCCTCTCACCGGGGGCGCAAAGTTGCCCCTTGGAAGTCCTTCTGCGGCAAAGGACCGCTGGCGGTTCTGAAGCGAGTGCAGAAGACGCGAGTCGAACAGCCGTGGTCGGAGCGTTCTTCGGAGACTGGACCTCCGAGGCGCGTGCCATCGGTGCCCGCGGCGGGGAAGACCGACCGCTCGTGTGGCATCCAGGAAGGTACCGAACCACCACCGTGTTGGTGGAACACATCACCGGTACCGGAGGAGGTTTTTTGTGAACATTGGAGTGTATGTTTGTTCATGTTGACATTCCAAGGACTGCTTGGTCTTGACATGTCTTGACCCATTCTTCCATGCATTTAGATGGCCATCTCCATCAGACGACCAGATGACACGGACGAAAGCGTGATCGGTCCTTCAGTCCGATGCGTGACTGGACAACTTGAGACGTCGCGTGTGGTTTCCTGCGACGTACCACGACACACGACACACCACGACTCACCCGTGCGGCCTACCGCCGCGGCGATCTGCGCAGGCCTACCGCGCGCGGAGAGCACAGGCTTCAGCTGCAGCGGCGCCGGTGATTTCAGCACTCAAGACTGGAGGTTTTCAGCGACACCATGTAAACTTTCATTGGGATGACCGACACAAGCATGTTCAAAGGGATCCTCACATGGAAAGAACATGTTCAGCGCATATAGCAGCTTTCTCGGGATGCTGAGAGGGATTGTCTGGTCGCATTGAGTGGGCAGAAAAGGCGTGCGGGGCTCGCGATCGGGAGAGAGGCTGGAAGCTAACAATTGAGTATCGCACCGCCCCATCCCGAGCTCCACATGAAGTGCCATATGCCAACACAGTGGACAACGTGTTAGAATTAGAAACAACCAGTTCATATGCCAGGTCAAAAAGACAAAGCACCTGTCCTATAAACCATTTATAGAAGCTAAAAGGTATAACTATAGCTAAACGACTCGTCCATAACCCCATGAGGTCTTGGAATTTTGCCACTTCGATTGTTCGGCGCAGGTGAAGGCCTGGGGCTTGCCCTGGAAAGTCTTCCTGCGGAAGCGCAACCGCAAGGACGACCGTGACGACCACGACGAGGTTCGAAGGAACTGTTGTGACTCCAAATGGACTTTTAAAGACCGTTTTGAGATCTTTTTGAGGTGCAAACATGTGATTTCTCACCTCTCACCATTGCTTTTTGCCCTAAGAATTGATGCAGCTCCAGGATCCAGCCTTCGCGCGGTATGCCATGCTCTCAAAAGCCGAGCCGTTTGCTGTGGGTGCTAAATTGAATAGCAGCATGTGCCATAGTGCCAATCTTGTGGCATACCATGCTGATAGCTGCAGGGACCTGCAGTAGAACATCATGTTCCGAAACCACTGACTGACAGAAGTTGAAGGCATCCGGTTTTGCTTCCAGTTACTCCACGGTCTTGAAGGCCTTGTGTGTTCCGATCGTCTAGGATGGTCTTTCCGGCCGATTCGATCGACCACACCGTGACGTGTAACACCCGTGGGACACCGACGGTGGGTTGTTTGAAGGTCCATGAGGCCAACAAGGAAGCCTCTGGCGTGTCTTTAGTCAAGCAACATGCCAGGCCGGGACCTGGTGTGTCTGTTGCGGTGTTCGGGAGTTGCATACCGTCTTTGGGGTGGCGCAACGCGACCCGTTCTGAGGGGTCGCCGGTTGTGTCCGGCCAAACCGTTGGGCGCTCCGGGCTCTTCTTCCAACCAAACCGAAACTCACGCTGGCCAGCAGCCGATGGGCGCCAAAAATGGTTTCGAAGGAGGTTCCTTGGGACAATTCCGCCACCACTTCAGCACTTGGAACCGAACGCCATCCGAACCGCCCTTGGTCCGGTCGTTTTGGACACATCCTGACATACCAACGCCACCCTCCGAGAGGTGTACAGTGGGGGTCATTTGGAACTTCACTCTGTAATTATGGATGTACCATGGCAATTAGCTCATCCAGGTCGTTGGGAGAAGTGAAGCAGGCCAGCTTGACTCAATATAAAGTAACAGCAGCTTGGGTCTGTCCTATTACCTGTAACAGACAGATTTTTGAAAAAGGCCTTTATTAATTATCATCATCATGATCATGATCATGATCATCATCATCATCATCATCCTCATCCACTGTTACAGGTATTGGGATAGACCCAAACAATGGCCTTTATGTAGTCCCTTATACTATTTCATGTTTATCCTTATTCCACACTCCTTGCCATGAGACCTCTATTCACCAAGTCATGTGGTCACGGAATTGTTGCAGCTTTTCTGGAGAGAACGAAGCATCCGTCATCCGGGCACGATCTCACAATGCCATGCTCCAGTCACGTCGTTCTCGTCGTCCCGCCAGACCGTTCGGTCGCACCGGTCGCCTTCGCCCGTCCTCGCCGTCGCGCCTGGCCGTGCGGCGGCGTCGACACCGGCAGGTTCTCACCCTACTACCTGCCAGCGCAGGTTCGACGTTCGGGTCCGAAAGGAAGGGACGAGTCCGTTCGCCGTAGATACGAGCTTGGACGAGCCTTGAACTAGAGCTTTCTAGAGGATTTAGGCAAAAAGGATACAGAATATGTTTCAATCAAAGGTGTCCAAATGCCAGTGTTCTGTTTATGTCTTTGGGAGCCTTTTGGAAGACCTGCAGTCTGTGGACCAGAGGCTGTCATCGTCGGCCATAAGCTTTGACGAAGCAGACTTGTTGCCACATCCAACCCAGAAACATCATGAGACATCCACACCAATGTGACGAAGGACTAAAACAAGTGCAGCATGGCCAATCCACGCCTGGTTCATCCTGAGACCTGAGATGCTCGTCCACGCTGCCGCGTGGACCCGGAACTCGCCCGAAGCCGCGCGGACCCGGTGCAGGGCTTCATGCACCCAGCAAGACAAGAGTTCATGGAGGGCTCAGTGGGTGGCGCTCAGTGGAGCGATCTGAGCCGGAAAGTCGGGGATCTGACCTACCCGGGAATTTCTTTTGAGACATGGGTAGTCATGTCAGGCACCTATGATCTATCAGAATGATTTTAGACAGAAATCATGGTGCTTGTTCAGAAGAGCTGGGCCACTTCAGCTTCTGTCTCAAGAGTTTTGAGGTAAAGCTCAACAGTGTTGGCTGTGATTTGATGCTCCAGGGCAGCGCAACTTTGTGGTCTCCCGCTCAAAGTTGAATTGGAAGGAAACGATCAGAAAAGATTCCTCTCCAAACCGGCCACACCGAGCTGAACATGTTTGATCTTCACACCAAAACTGGCCCACGCATCCTCCCACTGTTCGACGGACGACCGACGAGGTCCAGCCATCGCTGAACCTCTGGTGGCGCGACAGCCCCAGCCTGACCGCGGCCTTCCGCCGGCGGCTGGGCGAGGTGCCGGCGGGCGGAGCTTCCAATGTGAGAGTGACAGTGGTGTTTTAAGGTAGCAAGGCAGTGTGGCTTGGTCGAGCAGAGTGCATGTCAACTTTCACAGCAGGTGTGTTGATCAAAAGCTGGTCAGTGTGTTTTGCTTAAAGATAACAAAAGTCTAGACTCTAGACCCAGTATCTAGACCTTATTTTGCCTCCTTTTCGCTAAGAAACCCCTCCGAACCGCAGGCACCCTCATCCTGTTTTGCAGAGCTTTTCCAATCAACACCATATCAACACCACAAACCAGACGCTCCGGTGAGTTCTCACCCTCCTTTCGTCGCCCAACCGGGATTGGTGAGAAGCCCTCCACCGAGCGTGGCGGTCTCCGGAGGCCAAGTCCTTTGAGGCGGCGCACGCCGATCACCGGGAACCCATGGGTGTCACGGTACCAAAACGGGGTGGAAAGGGGAACCCAGACACTCCATGGAACTGCCATAAATGTGTATTTGATTGTATTTGCACATATATTTGCACTATCTTGGGGTGCTTTGAGGGGTGAATTTGTAGGCATACATATGGAGCGTTTGGAGAACGGGAAAAAGCGACGCGCAGGAAGGACGTGGGATCGGACCTACATCCGGACGGATGGTTTGGGTCCGGTCTGGTCAACGGTAGTGGTTCGAAAGAGACCATGTCGACCAATTCAAAAAAGATCGATGTTTTTGTGGTCAACGGTAGTGATGTGTTTTTCAACCATTCATCACAATGGTATTAGACTCCAGGGTGTTTTTGTTGAGGGATTCGATCTTGGTAGATCCGACCTCAATTTCAGATCCTCACGGGTTGATCATTTCACTGATGAAGCGATGGGGTGAATTCATGCAGACCCGAGATGTTTCTTCATGTTTCTTCGGTTGAAGCATATAGGAGTTTGCCACGAGGTCTGGGAAAAGAACCCTTTCGGAGGAAAAACCATTTGTTATCCAATGGTTCTTCTCAGTGACCGTTCTCCTGAATATCTCCTTCCTTTTTCAGTCACCGTCCGCCTTCGAAAAGGAGCCCTTAAAGGGTCGGTCATTTTGAAGCTGAAGATCCAAATGAACTGGTCACACCCCCACCACGACCCGTCTGGGACTGACTGCCGAGAAACGGCCAGGGGTGGTAAGTGTTGGGGGTCTATTTTGATCGGCAGTCCGCAGTCCCAGACAGGTCGTCTCTGGCTTTGGAGGGTCGATGCCGTCGAATGGTGGACTCGATGCCGTCGAGTCCGTCCTTGGAGTCCCAACGAGGGCGGAGTGTCCGCGCCAGAGCGCTGGCAAGAGCGACGGAAAGAGCGACGGAGTCGTTTGGGTGTTGGAGGATGCTTTGGATACGAAGAAAAGGGCTGGACAAGACTATAACTCTGTCTTGGTGGAACCCGAATCTGGGAATACGATGTTCTGACAACGAACTGATTCTATTTCGTTGCTGCATATGCCCTCTGAGGTTTCCGGTATGGACAGACCATGGGCGGCGGTGGCAAGGGCAACACGGCTGTGGCCAGCTCAGGGGGCTTGAGAAAGGACCGATTTAGAGACTCCACATGCTTGGATAGACTGGGTTAGCCGTGTGTGATCTAAACCAGAAACGCGAAACGCGAAACGCAAAAGTTCACGAGCCCGCGCGGGAGTGACGGACAGCGATGGAGTGGTGACAAAGCTTTTGAACTCATTTTCATCAGTGAATGACCTGATATACAGCCAGTTGGATCAAGAAGACTCCATCCACCCACAATATAATATCTACAGGATGTGTTGCGCGGGAGTTGACATGGGAAGAAACCGGCAATGAAATGCCTGAATCTACCTGAGTCTTAGACTAGCTATCTTGGAGTACATGATGACTTTGCCTATATACGATTGGGTGCGAAAGACGTGGCTATGGCATGGCAGCGGGCTCCTTCCTTTCGACGTTCCTTGAGATCCTTTTTCCAGTCCCAAGAGGGTTACAGTTGGCATCCATGATTGACGGTGCTAGGTCCAAGAAACCAAAATGAGTCCGAGCAGGTTCCTGTTTCAGCAGGAGGTTCCTGAGGTATTCACACACACACCCCACTGAGGTGCACCGGCGTGAGAAGACCCATCGCTACCGCTTCCTTCGTCCTTTCTGAGTGCGTCCAGACTCGGCCGATGGAAGCCATGTATCACCGATTGAAGCCATGTATCACTTAAGGGATGGATGATGACGGATACGATGGGTATGGTTTCAAATAGCAAGCCTCCAGAGAAAAACACGATGCGACACCGGATGTGACGATGGACTCCGAATCCAAAAGAACGATCAAAAACGGTCTGAGATGGAACATGCCATTGGGACACGTGTTCTTTCTTCATTTGAAGAGCTCCACAAAGCAGCGGGGGGTATCTCCCGATCTCACCGCGCAGGTCCGTTCTTGAGAGCGAAAAGGATCGAAAAGGGTATCTCAGGGGAACGATGTAGCGAACGATGTAGCGAAGTGAATTGCTTGGGCCAGGTGCAAAACATCACTCACCAACTCACCACGAGGGTCAGTATATGACTCACAGACTGGAAGGGTGACACATACTGGAGGAATAGCTAGTAGTAACAAGTGCCACGCTACTAGGAACAAGTGCCTTACTAGTAGTAACTAGAAGCTATTAGAAACAAGTGCCTTGGAAGGGTTTCTGCAAAAGAACAATAATGGATCAGGTCTTGGACTGGACGCCGAACTCGGCGGTTGACCTGCAAAGTTCGGCCTCATGTTCTATCCAACCATCGGTTTCGGCCTTTCGGTGTTTGAGATAGTAAAGGCGTACCGTACTATATCCCTTGGCTTATTGTTTTAGACTTAAATGTTCACTGTTTTGCATGGTCAACCCCATCTCTCAGGGCAAGGACACTCATTTTTTGTACTATTCGGCCAGACCTTAGCTCGCTGGAGACTTCATGTACTTAGATGTCATGAAAGGTATAAGTCTTGTGTCGCCCGGTTCCCCAATCATGAACAGGTCGTTCACGACGCCGTCCTCGGTCGTTCGAGCCGTCCCTTCGTCCGTGCGCGATCGTTAGCGGCTCGAGCGGAGCCGCTCAGATCCTCCATTTTTCTGCCTCGCGCCACAAATGTCGCTGCCACCCATTACGCCGGAGTTGGCGGGGCAGATGGTCGACAAGGTGATTTCTGGGAAATGAAGGGAAAACAGAGTTGGACCAGGTTTCGAGCTAAATATGCCTTCAGGCCGTGTCATTTTTTCTTCATGACTATATGCAGGAGTTTCAGCAAGTGTTTTGCCACAACCCCAGCCTCACCCACTTAGGGGAAGCCGCAATTCTGGAGTGCCATTGCCTCAGGCCATTGCTGCCTTAGAAGATGCAGAGACCAAGAAGAAGGTCTGGCACAGATTACAGATCAGGTGGTCCAAAAGCGTTCCCGCAATCCATTGGCAAACTGAACACAGGCTACAGCATAATAATGCATAATACAACTTTCTAGGGCCTAGGATATAACTCCCAAAAGTTTCTGCACAGTCAGCCATATACACGACAAGAAACTGGCGAGGTTTAGGCTGCAGTTCAGCGGGTGAAGCACTGCAGAGACGGAAGACCGGCCAGCACAACGAGATGCCACGCATGGCATCCGGCAGCTGGTCGGCACATCGGAGCACAAGAGCAGCTTTAAGGGTTGGAAGCGAAACTGGAGGGTCAGACAAAGGCTTGAATTCGTGCGAGTAAGCGATCACAGTGTTTGTTGAGCTCAAGAGTTCAAGACCACCAGGTTTTGTAGGTCTGTGTTTTTCATCCGGATTCGGGTTAACATCACACAGACAAGAGTTTGTGTGGTTTTTGCCCTAGACTTTGTGGCTCGTGCTCTTCTTGGGGAGGTAGAGGACATCCTGACGAAGGCCAAAGAGGCAGCATCTCCATCGCTGCGTCGCGAGATGCGTCGCTGCGTGGCGGCCACGGCTTCGACTGGCTTCCAACGACCAAGCGATGGATGAGCCTGGGGTCGTTTTTCATGAATGTTCTCCTTTTGGAGATGAAGCGGAAAGATGCAGACATCCACTTCTACTTTAAAGAGATCAAAGCGGTTGGGCTTTGGATTTCAGGGATGTTGGGCCATGTCGGGATGCCTTCCAATTCAGGGGTTCCTTAGTTCTAAGAAACGTCAGCAGAACAGAGCTGAACCTAGGGCTCCCTCCTGCTTCTATGCAGGGCTACCCGCTCGAATAGTCCCAACACCATAGCGTTTCAGGTTTCAAACGGAGACGTTGGGTTCGCCTCAAACCCTTCGGTGTGACACGTTGAGAAGGCCTGGCTCGGTCGGTCGAACAACGCAGGCCGAACCGGAGGACCAAGTGAAGAGACAGACCTTGATGATGCAGGAGCCACCCAGTTGGTGGAGTGGAGTGCATGGTCCAGTCCAAGAAATCGGACGAGTGTCCACAACCACGTCTTGTTACGGCCTTGTTTGGAGTCTCCCATGGTCTCCCGGTGGTTTCCAAGGTGTGAAAACCCCCCGTCCGCCGAACCAAAGCTTAGCGAGGAGCTGTTGCCCTTGGCCAAGAGTGTGGTCGGTGACAGTTGGAAGGCATCGCTCCGTGTTGATGGACCTGGGGAGAAACGGAAAAGAGTCCAAAGTCCGGAACAAATTCCATAAGCCGTGGCAAGACTTGCATTCACTGTTCTTCTGTGTTTGGGTTTCCAGAAGATCCATACTTTGCTATGACATCAAACCCATGCATTTCAATGTTGTCCTGAGTTTTGGAGTCGCTTTGTCATTTTTTGTCGAGCTTTGATAGATTGAGAGCAATTTCAAGTCTTCAAGACTCTTCCAACATATCCAACTTGATCAACTACTCGCCGGAGCCCCCGGCCACGTGAAGCTCGACGAGTTGGACGACGGAATAGATGGTGGGGTCAGCAACATTCCAGGTCAATCAACCACCCCAGGTTTTGATGGGTTGTATGGATAGTCTGGGAAGCTCCGGAAAAGATCTATGATGATCTATGGTTAGCTCCAACCATAAATGCTGGACTGTTTGAAGTGACCCTTGCGAAAGATGGACGACTTGGTGGATTCCGGCCAAAGGCGGCCAACCAACGTCCCAGCTGGCCAAAATGTGTGTCCGCAGAGGGTCTTCAACAAGCTGTAGAGGTCAGGTAGCACTCCGCTTTTAGACACGTCACATGGAAGTCTGCAGCAGTCTGGCCGAGTGGTAGAGGTTGGAACTATGTGCACTGCCTCGTCCATCTGGCTGCCTCCAATCCATTCTCTTTGGCTGTCCAGGATTGGGGCGTCACGGAAGACAACGCCATGATGGTGATGATGCAGGCACAGGGCGGGCGACACCACGGACCAGTCGTTCTTGCAGATCCTTCCGGACGAACCTGGGAGCAAGACCATTTGCAATGAGGCATGTTGTATCCCCGACAGCAAGATGTTTCAATTGTTTGAAGTCCCGGTTCGTGGAGAAGTGTTGAATCACCGAAAAATCACAGACCTGCCGCACGACGACCTTTTTCGGGTTGAGCATTCGAAGGATAGGAAGCTGAGCGCCGTCCGAGCCCAGTTTGAACTTGCGGGTGCCGTCGGCATGAACTCGGACCTGTCGTCCTTGGTCGTCCACTATCCCAGACACGACCTGTCTGGGACTGCCAGGACGGACTGCCGATCAATTGAACCCCCCCGGCACCACCCCAACTGATCGGCAGTCCTATGGCAGTCCCAGACAGGTCGTGTCTAGGATATTAGTCAGTCTTGGCAGTGCCTTCGACTGTCACGGACAGGTCCCGAAACCAGATGTTTGAAAAGGGATCGGTCCCGGACTGGTTCTGGTTCTTCTTTCATCTTTTTTCCGTCTCGTGCTGCATGCCCTTCTTGGCTCCGTTCGTGGCGGACCTGTCGGGCCGGGCAGTTTCACCCCGAACAGGATCCTCCGGGGCATCCGACGGGGCATCAGGTGCAGATGATGGCCATGATGGACCCCGTTCTTCAGCCCAAAGCAGCGAAGGCACCGTAACAGACGCATTTGGAGACGCCTCCGCGACGGTGAGCAACATTTACTGGAGTCGGTGAATACCTAGCTCGAACAAGGTGTTGGTCCAATTGCCATATCAATCAATGTCTTAAAGTTAATGCCCATGTTGGAATTTCAGGGCGCAGCCGCTTTGGCAACGCTGCGCATGTCGGTCGACGTGCCTCTCTTCCTTTCCGGCAGGTGATGAGCTTCTTCCAAGGCCAGGTTGGTGCCTAAAGGTCCAACGGCCAGCCCGGAAGAAGCACGGGCATTGGAAAGAAACAAAAACCGAATTCCCCGCCAGGCCGATGGCAAAACAAAAGACCGACTGTAGCAAGCGTACTGCATTTGCACTTGCTTCTCCGCAGAGTGGAACTGCAGAGTTGGAGATTCCGCTGTGTGTGGGGTTCTCGTGTGGCATTGAAGTGGCTCCTGGAGAGTTTGTGTTTACCTTCGCATTGTTTGGGTCGTTTGGGTGAGAACGAAATCTCCGAGTCAGTGACCAGAACGGTCCTTCTTCAACGGAGTGATCCATGGGTGCTGCCGTTCGGGCTACAGAATTTGCATGCATTTGATCGATCATACAGCCCCAATGATGAGCATAACCGTATAGTGATACCATCTAGGTAGTGAATCCAATCTCCTGACCAAAAACGAGGAGACAGGAGAAAACGACGGCACGCAACCAGACAAAGCAAGACCAGAGAGGAAAACTGAGAGGAAGGGTCCAAGCTTTGAATGTTGATAGGGTGAGGGGGGTTCCCCAACTTCTCAAGCACTCTCCAAGCTTTTGGGATGAAATCCGCTGAAGGGATTTCCGACTCCCCCAGCTCATGTGTACATCCCCCAAAAAGCCGCTTCTTCCAGGATCCATCCACAGTCGAACGACTGGCGGCTCGTCGAACGACTCGTTCGTTGAAAAGCAAAGCAGCTCCAGAGCCAGAAAGCACCTCAACAGCTCCACCTGAGACCACCACCTCCTTTTTCGATGCGCGCCAGCGCGAGTCTCCGGCGCAACAGCTACCGCGGCAGCGCGCTGCCCGTGACGCAGCAGCCGTCCGTGGCGTCGCTGCGGTCGCTGCCCTCGGAGAAGCCGGAAGGCCCTGACGACGACGCGGGAAGGAACGACGCGGGCGACCGGCGCATGTGGGTGGAAGAAGCAGCACCAGAAGCCACCTTCAAGAGAGGGTCCTTGCTCCTAGTAGCGTTCCTGCTCCTAGTAGTAAGGCCAGGAGCCCCTAGTAGCATCCTTGCTCCTAGTAGTACGGCCAGGAGCCACCTTGTCTCAAGAAAGGGTCCTGGGAGGGTCGATGTTCTTCTTCCCATCCAAGTGAGTGGTCGAAGAAACTTCTTCAATGCTGCTAGCACTTTTCTTGTGTCGTTGGAAGATGGGTTGTCAAGAAGAAAACCTGGATGGGTGAAAAACTGGCTATGGAGGTGTGCTTTGATAATGATATATCCTTCAATGTGCTGAGCCATACGGATCCGGAGGTGTGCAGTTTTGTTGTTCACCGATCACGCGCGATGCCGACTCCGACACCGTCCGATGCGAACGAAGACAGTCAGTAAGGGCCCCTGTGAGCGCTCCCCAAATGAACCTTTATCAACCTATATCCCAGACACTCCATGTATGCCATATATGCCTACATTGACCCCCAAAACCACCCCAATGTAGGCATATACAGCATACATGGACCAGTGTATGGGTATGATACATTATGATATCCTGTGATACCTGTTGACCGCCTTTCAAGTCCTTCATGGGCATTTGTGACATGTGTGGCGCAGCGGAATTCTCCTTTGCCGTCGAACTGGTCGAACTAAGTCCTGCCATCCCCCATTTGCCCAGTCGAGCACTAATGAAGCACAGGGTTCACCTGACGCCTAGTTCGAAAACCTGGGCCAGGCTGGGGGGACGGAAGAAGAGGTTTCTCCCCAAAAGTCATGGAGGAAAAACGCGTCGATCTGTGTCCAAAACTGGTCCAGGACGTCCACGTGTCGGTCTGATTCAGTGCCTCACATGGATTGAATGGCCCAAAAGTCGAGGAATTTCGATGCATTGAATCCTTTCGGATTGTCGGCCTGGCTCCAGTGATATGCTGGTGACCTTCGCAGCCAGGGAAAAAAAGAAACGGGAGAGGGGGGGAGAGCGGTTTTGGTTCCAAGGGTGTATATTAGGTGTCTTGAAATAAGGAGACCTCCCAGTCTACCTCCTGGTTTGGGTAGACTGGAACATGTGCCATATGTTCTCACAGAATGTACATTGAAAGAAGGATCCAAGTCACAAGAATCACAAGAATCCGACAGGCTCATCTTTGAAGAATCTTGAGACGCTTGTGACTGAGAATGGCGTCTTGGAGTTTCCAGAGACAGACATGGAAGATGATGCATTGCAAGCTGCCGTGCAGACCATGAATCTTGGAGGGTGTTTTGAACGTGTCATTCAATGTTGCTCTTGATACTAGCCATTTGTGCTAACTAGGGTTCTTAGCCGGCTGGCCAATGAGACCCAAACAAATTAACAAACATAAACAGCCTGCAGAGGACCATGCTGTTCACTTTGCTCGATAGGTTTTGCACTCCCTGAGCTGAGTCCTACGGGGTGTTCAAGGAACCACCTCCAAACACCACGAGCGTCTCCACGCACCCTTCAATTCACCCCTGGAGCTTCCAGGGAATCTCTAGCCTCAACTTGCCTCATAGAATCTCTTGCCAAGAAAGGATGCTTTTGGGGTACATCCGGTCAAAAATGGAATCCGTTCTAGCAGTGTGATTTTTGGTGTGTGTGTGTGTTTTGCCTGCACTCTTTCAACATCAATTGGAAGAACAAAGAAAACGCTTCGAGATCGATCCCCATCGCCAGGAAGAGGCACAAGACCATCACCTTCGAAGATATTGCCCTGAGCGAAGGTGTGAAGCAAAGTGTTTCTTGGGCAAACAGAGCGGTGAGGAAGTTGAAGCTCATCCACCTCACCTTGAAGCTCATCCCCTTGATAAACTGAGGTCATTCTTTGTCAGCTCGGAAGACAAAAACGATTTGTCATCTCTTGAGTGCGCCGAACATCTCCACAGCTCATCCACCTCAGCCTGATCGGTTGAACAGGATTCACCTTCTGGCAGAACTCGACCTGTTGCCTGGGGCGAATTCGCCAAGTTTGCAGGCATCGCGGCCTCCCCTTGTTTTGGCAAAACGCATGGATCTCGGGTTTTGGGCCCCATGTCTTTCCCAAGAACCCCGAGGAGTCTCCAGGATCCGGTCCTGAGGTGCGATCCCCAGGAGTCTCCAGGACACTCGTTCGACGAACAGATCACATGTGTACATGGTGTGGATGGCATAGTCCAAAGGAAGAGGACTTTCCGTGACAAACAGGGGGGCTGAGCTCCACTGCCATGTGAGGTGCTCGTCGGAGAGTGTTTGGTGAAGATGTGTTGATCGCGGTAACGTTTTGATCGCAAACCCTTCTCGGAGACGAAGCCTGGCTTCGTGATGATCGCTATGAGGTTTATCTAGACTATTTGAAGTGGGAGATCGACACGGAAAGCGCATTTCTGGAGCTTCCTCTGACCATTGTGGTTTTGATCTCCTTCGCTATGTTGGCTATGAATATTTTGCATCAGGAGCATCTGAATGCGAAAATTATAGGCGAAGAGTCTGTGATCAATATTAAAGGATTCAGATGTTTAGATCAGAGTGACGGATTCTGAATGCCAACGCGGCACCCGTTGGTTCTTTGTTTGTGACGCTTTCATCGAACAAGGGCGAATTTTCGCAGGAGCAGCTCTACACCATGGAGACGGCCATCGAGCGAGATATCATCGAGAATGCCAACTTCGCGTGGAGCGGCCACTTTGGGCACAAGGGAATTCTGCAGGCGACGGAAACCTCGGCGCGGGACAAACCTCCGCGTCTTTCAAGGGCGGACAGAAGAAGCTGGCCCATCCGGGTCGATTCGTGAAGCCTCGGCGTCGATTCCCAAGCGATGAACACATGCGGGAAAATAGCTGATTGGCTCCATGTGCCTTTGAAACGTTCTTCCATTTTTAACCCATCCGGCCTTTTGTGCCTTCTTTATGTGCAGCCCCTTTCTCACTGTTTGCAGGTGCACTCCATCGCCGATTTTTGGTCCTGGATGCGCTTGGGCTTTTTGGGCCTGGTGGTGAAGCCAGGGTGGTTGTACAGCGAACCAGCGCCAGACATCTTGGGGGGGCCCGACATGACGTCGCGCCCGGACATGCCCACGGCCTGGCTCTTCAATGGCTATGAACGACCTGCACCCGTGGCCAACGATGCTCGAAGAGAGATGTTGCCAGACACTCCATGTATGACCTATTTACCGACATGTGATATTGGGGTTGTTTCAGGTGTCAATGTAGGTACGGTTACACCATTCAACTATGTGGAGGCCGGGCCAGGGAAAGCCTTCTCCGATCCTTATTTCATCCGTATATTTTGGGGCGGCGGCCGGCTTAGTGAAGTTGAGGAATTATTCGACTTTCAGGTCCCTAAACGCAATTCTTTTAAAGTCTTCGACTCTCATCAACCGCGGCCCGGTCCGGCGCCTTCGGCACAGCGGCTGCCAGCCACTGAAGGGTGCCCGTGTTGTTGAGGACAGAGGTGCTATGTGGACAGCCTTGCAGCTGTCATCCATCCGGGTTGTCGGTAGTATGGGGTTCCACATACCTAGATCCTTTCGGCAGAATTCTTGCCTTTTTCGGGAAGAGCGGCTCTTCCCGTCCTGGGGCGGAAATCAATTTGTTGTCGCAGAAATGTGTTGGTTGCCGCAAATGTTCCCTTTCAGAAATCTAGTCAGACAAAGACATTGTTCTAGAGGAGCTGAATTTTTTCCTGTGGTCTACATTGGACATTTCTCATTGGAATGGTCCCTTAAGAAAACAAAGAATAGCGACACTTAAGTTGTCCACCTCTACCTGGAAATCTGGCTACCATCATATGTTTCTTGTGCGGAATGAGCACATACGGAGTAAAACCAGTCCAAAGTTGAAAACACCTGGCGCGAAAATGCCTGGGTAAAAAGGCAGAAATACCCGGGAAAATGTTGGAAATACGCGGACAAGGGCCGAAATACCCGGCAAAACGGCGGACATTTCCTAGCAGAAGGCATTATTCAAAAACAGTGCCTTTGAAGGGCTTGAACAAATGTTCCAGCCTCTTTGTGAATGTCAGGAGTTGAGAAGTGTCAACATCGTAGGATGTGAGATCTTGAGATGTGAAGCTATGTCCTTGCAGAATGATATGTGGTATGCAATCATGGAAGAGACAACCTGGTCTGTGTTAGGCAGTGGTGATGGTTTGTGAAAGGCTGTTGAAATTTGCTTGCGGCAAAAACTCCCTGCTGGCCGCGGAAATTCCTACCTGGCGCGGGCGAATCCTCCCGGGCAAATCGGACGGAGGCGGAAAATTTTGCCCCAGGCGCTTCTAGGTACAGGTCACTACTAAATACACGCATATATATAGTCACGTGCAGAAGTTTTGTCCGATGTTCGTGATTGCTTTTGTTGTCTGCAATCGCTTCCTGAACGCTTTGACTTTGACCATGTCTCATTGGAGAAACGCGCAGATCTGATTGCACGGCAGCCGCCTACACAAAAGTGAAGGGGAACTGCTGGAGCAGCCGACTACCAGCAGGTTTCGCATGGGCTGGGCCTTGGAGACCGAGCTTCAAATCCGAAAGGCTGATGATGCCGATGTTTTTTGCCACAAGATGTCTAGGTCGTGGGCGCAGCTCTGCTTGAAGGGTTTGAAAGCTTAGGAGATCAAGCACCCTTGCATGGAAGCGTGCGTGGTCAGCAAGGATGATGAAGAGGCTACAAGACAAATTTCTCACGTAATTTTGAGCAGATCTGCGATATCCTCCTGCAATATACCAGCAGGTGATTTTGTTTTTTTGAGGAGCTTCTACTTCCAGGCACCACAGCCGCCGCCGGTTGTAAGTGACTGAGGCCTTGTACTTGTGACCTTTCGTCAGCAGTGCTTGGGGGCTGTTGCAAAGACTTGCACCAGCGCAGAGGCTTTGCAAAAGTGCGTGGAGATATGTACCGGCCAGGTCAGACTGAGGGCTGCAGAATTAGCGCAGTCAAGGAGCCGGGAAAGTGCGGAGGAAGGGAAGCAGTAGCTTCGCGCAGCGCTGGGGTGAGGTGCAACTTGGCTGATTTCTTCTCTTTGAAGATGATCGCAGGCTTTGGTCAAATTCCATCAAAAGCCGGCGGAGTCAACTGCTGTCTTCATTCAACAAAGTTTGCACCACCATAGGAGTGAGCGAGTGAAGATGGCAGTTGCCCACGGGGTTGAGTGCAGTGCTGAAGACATGCACCACGGATCGTGAACTGTAAGCAACAGCAGTTGAAATGAAAGCTTCTTATTTTCATTTTTTCACGCTAGACTGGACTCGACCAAAAACAAATTGACCGGCTGCAAGAAATCACCTTTAGCTTCATCCGTAGTGATGGATCTTGATGAGTAAAACGGACCCCCCCTCCCCCTAAACAAATTGGATGCCCAACAACGACCTACCACCAAATCAAATCTGGGTTCCTGGGAGGATTCCTTTTGCAATTGATTGTGGTATTCATTTTCTTTCCTCGGGTTCTTAGTAATTAGATATTCTGAGCTATCCTTTTCCGATGCAGCCTCAGATCTTCACCACATCTTCAGCTCTACCACCTTGAAAATGTGTTTAGGAGCAATCTTGACATAAAAGGATTGATTAAGGAATTGATGGCTTTGGGAAGGTGTGAGTGTTGAAGAGCTGAAGAAACCGATGACTACCAATAATACTCTCACCAAGCCAGCCATTGCCTTAGTAGTATTTTAGAAATGCTTGTATTTTCTTTCTGGTGAAAAAACTTTGCACAATTGAAAGCCCTTAAAGCAAATTTATGTCTCCAAAGGATTCAAGACCCTAATTATGCTTCAGTCAATAAATAATAGGGCCACAAAAATTAGCATCATAGAGAACCCTCAAAACAAAAATTGTGTCAAGAGGGCCTTATTACTAATCAGCATCCAACATGAAAGCCGTTCTGAACTTGGCCATCATATAGGAATGGTCGGGGTCCTCCACATAGGCGTCATAATTGTTGTTTTTTTATCCGTATATGCAGCAACTGTACATGTTATACCATACATGGAGAGTCTGGGCACGTTGATTTGAACATACTGAGGGACCCGCTTGCAAAAACGCAAACCCCCGAAGGCCCGAAGGCAGTGGTACATTTACATGCACATCATTATTCTGTAATTGATTGGCTTGAGAGCTACGAATCACTAGGGTGCCGATTCAGTGGCAAGTTGTCAGGAATGAGAATGACACATTGTCACTTGCGTCAAGTGTTCCAATTGTTCATCCAACTAACAATGAGTTTCAGATATTTTTGAAAGTCCTTCATGACACTCTTCTGACCTCATGTCATCATGATGTCACGATGTTTTAGGAGTATTTGCACTACGCCAAAGTCATCAGCGGAATACGGATGCGTCAATCCGTCTCCGGCGCCGGTGACTTCTGCGTTTTGCCTAGCCTACTCGACCCTGCGCTACTCAGCCAGTGGCTGGCGAAGCCTTGTTTTCCATCTGACCTAGGCGCCTTGCACCGCCCTCCTTGGACCCGGGTGTTGGTGAATTTGGTCTTTGGCCCACTTCAATGACATTTCAGAAATTTGGTGTTTTGTGACAGGTTGCTTCGAACTTTGCAGTATATAGGACACATACCCGGTATGGATGTGTACGAATTTTACGCCTGACCTCCCAGAAATTGAGATGGTTTGTTTCACCGCGAGGGACACCTCCAAGATTCGATGGTGTTTCGGCGGAGAACGGTTTTGAGAAAAACGGACACACAAAAACACATCCAGATCGTCGTCTCTGTGTGATTTGTTGTTCGATCTTATGGCCAACCAATCCTGTCGCATTGACGTTCTGACCCTGTCAGGGCTACTGTCGCCTGAAGTGCATGAGGCTGAAAATTTTTTGGGTCTTCAGCGTGAGGAGTTCCTTTTTCCAGATCTATTTACCATTCAGGACAGACGGGAGGGCTTGTCCGGAGGACTCGATATGGAACACCCGACGCCTTCCGGCCTTCCAGGTTCCGCCTTTTCCCTCGGCGCGCACTGGATTCGTTATATAAGACGGTCACCACAGGTTTCTCGAGGTGTTTTAGTGGACGTCGTGTTTGTCAACAAAGATCTTTCCTGGTGTTGCATGTTTGTCGAACCCCTTTTCCCTGGTCGCAGAAGCGCTGCGCAAGTTTTGGCGTAAGCCCGACGTTCACACTTTATGTCATAGCGAGGCCGCGTATGCAAAACCTCCAGTCTGTGGCGGACGGTTTCCCAGACAGTGGTGTAAGCGACCCCATCGGCCTAAGCTAGAACTACAGCCAAGTAAGCGTCACGTAAGCATCGCGTAAACCATGAGTTATCATACAATAACAGGATTGCAATCTAATTAAAATATTCAAAAACGTTCTGGTGACCTTTTGATCACTTGGTTTGGTTATTTTGACCTCATGCAGCACATTGACAATGTGTATCCTAGAGGTCGGATGGTAAGAATCTAGATCCTCAACAGGAACAGGCGAATGCACGCCTGACTTGCACGGTGTTTTTTCAGAGCTCCCATCAATGGTGTCCCTCATCAGAGAGGTTAGGTGGTGATAGGTTGATCCGAAAGCGATCAACAAACTTAGAGTTTGGATGTTTGCTTGAAAGAACAAGGTAACACGAACACCTTGTTCTTGATCGTTTTTGAGCAACGGCTCCTCCACTTTGCAGTTTCCTTCAGTGTCCACCTCTAGGAGCTCACGCAGCAAGTCCTTGCCCCTTGGATCGGACGTGGGAGACAGACGTCAGACGTGGGAAACCCGTCCCGTGCAGCTTTCGACGGCTGCATCCATCTCCAGTCCAGTCCTCACGAGTGATGTCCAGTCCTCAGTGTGGTTTCTAAGTTCTAAGGCTGTGGAGATGCGTCCGGAAGGTTGCACATCCCAAGCCTCATGGTGGTTGACATGGGTTGACCATCAATCCATGTAAACCATGTACTCGAAGGGTGGTTGGGGACATTTCATTTGCAACTGCGGCCCTGATGTATGTTAGTCCAGATGGGAGATAGGGCTGAGGATGAGCGCGACATAGAGCGACCACATCTCCAGAAAAGTCTTGGATGAGGATCTCCAGTATCGCAAGATCAGTTTCAATCCATTTTGGCCGCGTTCACGCTCCAGCTGCGTCCCGCTGAGGACATGGAAGATGGCTGTGCTTACTCCAATGCGACCGGCAACGCCTGTCGTTGCGAATGGTGCAGCGCCGGCGCCCAGAGTTTGCGGCCCTGGATTGATGAAGAAACCTCGCGCGTGGAAATCAGTATGGTGGTCTACAATGCACAGTACGGATCCTACACCTATGTCTCAGTGTCTCATCCAAACGGGACGGACGGAGAAGTCACGGACGATCACGGACGGAGAAGTCATGGACTTGGAGAAAGTACGGACCTGGCCAAACACAGATAAACACAGGTGAGGTGTTTTTGTCCGATTTCTTCCACCGCCCACGTGGTGTAGGGATTTTCGTGGTGCTCCTTTTGGCATTCATATGCTCGGCTAGGCAGGCAGATGCTCAGTGTGTTTGTGTGATTCTTGCATCGGCGTGAGGTGAACTTTATGTTCAATCGCGGAGGCCACATCCATTCGTTTCTTCGCTGCGTTTGAGAAGTGCGTGCTTCCCGACTCTGTCATGACTGTCGAGTGGAGTGATGGAGCTAACCCTACTCCGAGTTCGGAACAGGATGAGTCCGCTCCAGTGAATCACGTCCATCCATTCCCAGCACGATTCGGGCCGGAAACAACGCATGTTTCCGGCAGAAGACAAGTATTCCCAAGTTGTGTTGGGGCTGCAGTTAAACTCCCTGAAACAATGGTTACGTGGAAAGCAACCGGTTTGGAATTTGGATTTTGTGGGTATCCCAAAACGGGGACATGCCATCCACTTCCATGATGATTCCACTGGAAGTCTCGTATCGAGAACTTGGATTCTTGAGTTTGTTCAAGAAGTGACGCTGGTTTGAGTTGGCGCCATGCGCTGGCCATGCACGTGGACTCTTTGGGACAGAGTGCTGTTCTTGTGCTTCGCTTGTTCATGTTTGTAGTTTGTTTTTCTCTGGATGTTCCTCTACTGGCTGCTGATTTCTGCTTCTCTCACCTCCCTTTATGTCAGCTTATTTTCACACGAAGGCACATACCGTACTCATTGTTTGTATCTTATAGGAAAACACTTTGTGATGTGATGCTTCCGCTGCTGAGCTGCAAGTTGCCTTCGTTGTCTTCCTTCTCGAGCGAGGAGTGACCTTCGAATGCATGACTAGACCCGACCTGCTTCGCTCGCTGATCGACCCAGCGGATCGCGGATTGCGGATTGGGTACGACCCGGCACGTGAGGTTTATCCATTGTTTGTCGGCCTTCGTGAATCCCTTCTTACGCCCCGGCCCGGAGTGACCTGGTGTGATGTCGAAAGCAGGGGAGAGGTATGGCTTGAATCAGACAAGACCTCCAAGATCCTTTCAGAAAGATTTGAATTTTCGTGGACAGACGGGAGCTCGGGCTGGGCTCAGACGCTGACCCAGGGAGTCTGGTGGCACCTCAAACAACCTGTGGTGGTTTAATATGTTTTAACATGCGCAATCATAGCATGTCTTCTCCAAGAAGCCAGGAGCATCAACCAAAAACAGCAGGTTTTCTAGCATTCTTTGGGAAGCCACTCCAGGAGATAAGCCAGCCTCTTCTGTCTTTCGAAGCCAATCAAGCACCAGTCCAATCCGGTCCTAGATACGTCTGATACACAATCATTTGTCGCAAAGGTCCAAAAATGGGTCACGTTTGTGCGAAAAAAGAGGATCCCGATATCCCATGTGGTCTGAACCCTGCGCCGAGCATGACTCCAATTAGAACAAGCAAGAGAAGAACCAACATGGTTGTACTGACTGTACAATCAACAGATCCGTCCCTTCCTGTCCCTACCCCAGAAGCAAATCCTCAAGAGAATCAACGTGGCGACGTTTTTCAGCCCACAAGGGACACAGATTGTACCAAAACCAAAAACTCTTACCCTCCATCCATCCAACAAACAGTGAAATATGGCCCCTTGGAAGACCGTTTTCCTCAACGAACAGGCTACATTCCACTTCCATGATCGTTTCAGGGAGGGTATATATAATATACTAATATATGTTATATGTGTGTTTGGCATCTTCAAAAACACACCCCCAACGTCGACCTATTGGCACCCAAGCAAGTCCTCCAGTCCACCTCCATAAGACTCGGTCAGGTTGGCCTTGACCCTGGTGGCTGCTACGCTCTGGATCGGTGCCTTGCTCTATGCCCTGGCGGCAGAGCTCACCGAGATCCGGGGGGCCATCCGGAATTCCAACGCCGGGCTTCGGAAAGCCCTCTGGGAGGAGCACGATGTGTGGGTGTGGTTCTTTTTTGCCGTGAACTCGACTTCATTCGATGTTTCTTTTTGCCAAACGTGCCACACTGGGAGGACTACGTGGGCTTTTACAACATGGTCGACTGGTCCTCCATCATTGTGGGCTCCTTAGCCATTGGCTACTACTTCCAGAGTCGCATCGCGGCGAGTGCGGTGAACGAGCTGCTGCCCTCCATGATTGACGCGAGTTTGAAGCCGGACGCCAACTACCAGTCCACGGTGAAGGAGTTCTTCCGAGCGGCCGAGGACATGAGCAAGGCGTCCCACGGGGTGGAGCAGGGAGGGAGGAGATGGAAGGAGTGCTCAAAAAAAATGCATCTGAGTCACAGCATTTTGGAAACCGCATGTTCCATGAGCATTCCACCAAAGCATGAGTCCCACTGATGTTCCTCCCCGCAGACGTCTTGAGCTCCGACCTTGCGTGTTGAAACCGCGTGCGAGCGCGGTGCGTTTTTCATGTGCGAACTACACCTTTGTTCTTGAGGAATCCACGGATTCCAGGTCTGTCACTGTGCAACAGTGGCAGCGGAGCCACGTGAGTTCCGTTGCAGATGCCCCAGGACCCTTGGTTGAGGACCGATCCCTGGCTGCATTACACTGGAGCTGCGAGGACCCCTACCTCACCATGTGCTGGTGATGCTTCGACCCGGATGTCGTGTTTCCCAGGACAGGGTTCTGGTGCTGGACCTGCAACACAGCCTGAGGGGCCAGGAGCTACTTCCTCAGGAATGCCTGGGTCACCCCCTCATGCTGTTGGGAATTTCGCTACCACATCAACTCCGGTAGCAGCACCTTGGATGAGCCCGAACCTCACTCCGCAAAGCGCTCAGATGACAGGCCATCCTGGACTGTTTAGTCAGCCTTGTAGTTTTTATCCAACTCCCCAAGGGAATCAGTCGGGCATGCATAGTGGTGGAACCCCTTCTCCCCCTTCAAGAGGGTTCGGGAACTTGGCTCCACCTGCACCGAGCAACGGTGCCTGTGCTTCAGCGCCTGGACCTTGCAGCGCGGCTAGCTGGTGTCAGCAACTGGATGCGTCAGCACTGCCTCCTGCCGCCGCGCCGGTGCAGAGCGCCTTTGAGATGCTTGGCAAACCGGTGCAATCAGTGCCTGCGAGTTCTGCAGATCCTCAGGAGGTCATGCTCAAGGCCCTCACTGCTGCCCTCTCAGGTGATCGCAAGAGTCTGCCAAGCTGGAACGGTGATGTTTCGACCCTCCGACCATGGCTTCGCCAGTTGACGCTTTGGGAGATGGACAACAACCTCCCGAAGCAGAAATGGGGGTTGAAGCTCCTTCAGGCCTTCTCGGACCAGTCACCTCCGAGAAGGATTGCAGAGACGGTGGACCTTCCCACACTGACTTCCGAAGCTGGATACTCGGCCATCCTAACGGCCATCATGACCAAGTACGGTCCCTACCTGGAAGCTGCTGGACCGGCCGCCATCGAGACCTTTTTCTATGGGACCGAACGCAGTCGGTCAGAAAATCTCTCAAGCTATGTGGCTGCCAAGGAGGTCGCTCTACAGGAGATGGAGGCGCACCTTGGAGAGAAGCTGCCTGGGCGGATCGCAGGGCGTATCCTTTTGCGCCATGCGAATCTGTCTGACGCCCAACGTGAGGCTATGGCTGTGAAGTACAATGCCCTCTTGACCTTCGAGCAAGCAGCAGCCGCCTTGAGGCCGTTGGATCGGCCGGATGCCTTAGTTCAGAAAGTTGCCAAGACCTTCGCAACTTCGAGTGGCCACCATGACTATGAGGAGGATGAGGACGACGAGCTTGTGCCTGATGAGGTGCAGGCTGAAGAGGATGATGAAGAAGGCCCTGAAAGCGATGGTCAAGGCAACCTCACCTTTCTGTGTTTCGACCCGGCCGAGGAGTACACGGAGGAGGAAGCCACCTACATATGTGCCTACAACAGTGCCTACAAAGATGTCCGACGAGAACTGCAAGCTAGGCGGAAAGGCCGCCAGTTCTTCAAGAAGGGCAATGGACCACCAGTTCAAAAGAAAGGCAAAACCAAGGGCCTACAGCGTAAAGGCCATGGAGGCAAAGGTCGTGGCCATAGCAGTTTTGGTCGTGGACGTGGTCACGGCCGTGGAACACCGGACGATCTTCTGGCTCGCACGAAGTGCTTTTCATGTGGTGGCCTTGGACATATGTCAAAGGATTGCCCTCAGCAAGAGCCACCCAGTCATTTTTTTGTGAGCCATGGAGGTCATGAGCAGCAGCGCATCTACGCCGTGAGCGTGAAGCCCTCAGTGCAGAAGCAGCTGGAAGTCTTTGCAGGTGTTCGCACCGAGAGCTTCGAAGGAGTTGTGGACACCGCAGCAGAGGAGGCGGTGATTGGCTCGACAGCAATGGACCGTTTGCGTGCTGCACTTGGCCAATTTGGCCTTAGGCCGGTTGAGGCCAGTGGAACCACGGCGACCTGCGCCGGCATCGGAGGCTCAGCGACCATCAAGGCCGTGTATGACATCCCCATTGGAGTTGCCAAGACCAATGGGCTGCTCCGGGTGACGGAGATAGAGGATGTTGGGGCTTTTCAGACCCCATTCTTGCTTCCCATCTCTTTCATTGAGCTGGTGGGAGGCGTCATCGACACCGGCAAGAACATGTTCATGTTGAAGGGTGGCAAGAAGACCACCATGCGGCGATTACCCTCTGGACATCGCACAATTTCTGCGCTGGAGTTCAATGGACGATGGAAACTTCCAGAGGGACTCGCCAAGGAGCTCACAATCTCTTCAGATGGAAATCCATTTTTGCTGCCACGGACTTCAGTTGGAGACAAGCTTCAGCAACGACCCGGAGTGGCAGTATGGTTGAAAAAGGACAGTGAGCTGATCTTTATGGGCTCCATGGATGCTCGCACAACCCTGGTCCATCCTTCTGAGATTCTCCCCAAGCACATGCTTTCGAATTTGGATCGGTCCCGGGTGACAAGTGCATACTTTTTGGACGACACCTCCATCAGCATCCATGATACATGGCATTTGCCCTCTTCACGCCAACTCCCTTTTTGGTCGGGTGATGTGTTTTTCGAGCTTTTGGACCCTTTTTCGCCCTCGACATCACCCTCGACGGTGTCTTCGGCTTGCGTCGTGCCCCGGCCTCAGGCTGCCTTTGCACCTTCGGCAGCCGCCAACCAGGTCAAGGACTCAAAGGGCAAAGCTTTGGCGTTGAAGAGTGCTTTGAAACCAGTTTGCAAGCAGAGTCAAGTGTCATGTGCACCTCCGACCATGTCCACAGAGCCGCAGAGTGTTTCTTTCTCTCCGTCAGCTTTGGCTCCTGGTTCAAGTCCGCCTCATCGTGTGCACCTCCCTGAGCATGCAGAGCAAGATCACCCAATGGTTGGTGCAAGCCGACAAGGAAGCACCACCAGCTTCCAAGAAGAAGACGCCCACAGTGAAGTTGCTCGCTGCCTGGAGGCGCATGGCTCAGCTGACGATCAACATGATCCTGACGACGATTCGCCAGTCGGCCACGGATTACCTGCTCAACAGGCATCGCTACGAGTTGGCCGAGCCAGTCAAGGAGAGTGCACAGAAGGCACCAAAGCAGATCGGGGACGGGCGCATCCGCCGCGGCATTGGTCAGCCGCTGCGACGCTCCACAGCCTGCAAGACATGGCATTGCGAGCCATCGGACTGTGCCCATCCAGAAGACCAGCTACGCCAACGAGGCTCAAAGAATTTCTACTGGTGGACATGCCTCGACTGCGGCAGCAGATGGGCTCGGGTGGAATGGGCAGCAGATGCAGCCGTCAACTCGGGGGCACAATCCTCAACAGATCCTCCAACAGCAGTGGAGTTGGTGACCAAGTCGCTGATGAGCTATCCGGCCAAGTTGCCACCTCCCAAGCATCGCTCGGACCTGCCGACGCTCACCATCACCGAGCTCTCACCGAGCACCGAGCCAATGGCAATCCAGGATGTCTCCAACCGGACCTCAGCACCGGTGACCCCCTCATGGTTGGCATCGCCCAGCGAAATGCCGGAAACTCCACCCGCAGCACCGCTGAAGACGAGTGGGCGCATGTCAAGCCGATCTCAGAGCGCCGACCGTCGTCGCGGCATGGCTTCAGGAGTTCGACCAGCCCAACACCGAGTGAAGCCAAGGGCCCACTTTCGGAACTCGACGGAGCAGTTCGAGATCCACTCATCGGGCGGAGAGTCGGTGCCAAGCGATCTTCAGATCGTCAGCCCATGAGGGAGCAAGCGAATGGCGCTCGGAGCACCACGACCACCACGAGCACTACGAGCGATGGCAAGTTCTTGCACGCATCGCCCACGTCATGCCCTACTCGATCCTCTTCACTGAGAACTTGCTCCAAGAGCGCTACGACTACTTGCTCAAAGAGCCCTATGGCAATGACCGCATTCCTGACGGTCTCAATCCTTTGCATGGTGCCTGAAGCCTCAGCCAAACTATCTTGGTTGGGTTCCCGACTGGAGGTCGGTGATCCTTCAGGAGATCCTTTTGCGAATTCATCTTCATCTTTGCCCTCATCGAAGATGGCATCCTTTCCCTTGAACGCCAGCCTTACTGAGCTTGGCCGAACTGATTTTGACATTGTCGGAGCGAAGATTTTGGGACGCCAGGAACGAAGTCAGGTGATCTTCCATGCCACCAAGTTCCTGGACCACGTTGGAGAGATATACAGTCCTCCTCGGGTGACGCCAGAAGCCCGTCGTCAAGGTCTTCGAGCTCGCTTGGCCTTGGATCTCACTACCGGTTGGAACTTTTCCCTGCCGGAGCACCGGAAGAAAGCCAAGGAGCTGATAAAGAAGTGGAGGCCAGCCGTCCTCATTCTGAGTCCACCATGCACTACCTACTCGCCTCTCCGCCGCCTTTCGAACTTCAAGCGCGACTACCAGACAGTCATGGCGGAAGAGAAGGAAGGCGATGTGCACATGGATTTCTCAGTTGAGCTGGCTGAGGACCAAATAGCTGAGGGACGAGGTTTTGTCATGGAACAACCTCTTCCAGCCACTTCATGGTCCCGACCTTCAGTGAAGCGGTTGATGGAACACCCTGACGTCCATCGCCTGGAGCTGGACCAATGCCGTTTTGGCCTTCGTGCATCCAAGGGCCCCTTCAAAGACATGCCGGTGAGAAAACCGACCGCCCTGGCCACCAATCTGGAAGGCCTGGCTGAGTTCGTGGAAAAGAAATGCTTGAAGCAGCATCAACATGGTATGCTCCTGGGTGGCTCAGCCAAAGAAGCAGCGGTCTACACTCCGTCCTTCGTGAAAGCATTGGTGGCGGGCATCAAAGCCGCACTTGGCATTGCTCCCACAAAGAAGACAACGGCAGAAACCCTTCAGTGGTTTCAGTGGGGACAGGCTATGGGCCATTTGGTCTATGACTATGCGCGGGAAACCGCGGCCCTTGACGACGAGGTTTCAGAGCTCTATGGCACGATCGACTATGTCCATGATGTCGAGACTGAAGAGACCTACGGCAAGTTCATTGGTTCACCTGGGCAACCCCCTCGCGGAGACCAATTTCCTGAGGGTTGCCCAGGTAAGAAAGTGACCGCCTGGGCACTGCAGAACGCTCAGGAGGCAAATCGACTGGGTTCGACACTACCGGAGGAGGAAGACAATTTCGATGCAGTTCAAGAGCTTCGTCAAAACATGCGACAACTTGATGACCAACCTCGCATTGCCGAAGCCCTAAAAAAGGTTGAGACATTCCAAAGCATGGATGACGGCAACTTCTCCCTACCTCCACATCTTCGACGAGAGGTACACAAGATCCACAGAAACTTGGGTCATCCCGCACTGGAAATCTTCGTGCGTGCTCTTCGCAACTCGGGCGCAAAGCAAAAAGTTCTGAGCTGGACAAAGCATCACTTTCGGTGTCCCACCTGTGATGCTCGACCACGGGTGTCACCACAGCGCCCGGGACATTTGCACCGAGCAATGGAGTTCAATTCAGTCATTGGGCTCGACCTTGTCTTCTTGGAGGCCTTTGGACAGCTCCACGTGATTCTCAACATGATTTGTTGGGGCACTAACTACCAGCAGGCTGCCCTGTGCCGCGACAAGTCGGCTGATGAGGTTCTCAATGTGTTCATGAATGAGTGGATCAAACACTACGGAGTGCCTTCACTCATCATAGTGGACAGAGGAAAGGAGTTCGAGAACCATCAATTCCAGGAGACGATCGGTGGACTTGGGGCAGCCATCCATTACACCGACGTGGAAAGTCCATGGCAAAACACTCGTACAGAAAAAGCCGGAGGAGTTCTAAAGGAGAAGATCATGGCCACCATCCACCAGACCACAGCGACCATTGATGAACTTCCACTCGTGCTGGCTGAAGTGGTGAGCAGTCGAAATCGCTACATGGACCGTTTTGGGTTCTCACCAATGCAAAGGGTCTTCGGCCGCTCACTACGGCTTCCGGCTTCCATCATGGCTACGGATGCCCTCGATCGAGAGCTTGTGGAAGCAGCTGCACCAGAACCGGTTCGCCGGTCATGGGAGATCCGGGAAGCCGCATCCCGTGAGTGGTTGAGGAGGCAGGATCAGGCTGCCATCCGGAGAGCCTCTCGAGCACAGAGCCGCACTGCAGATCGCAAACCACTTCCTCCTGGCACATGGGTCTATGTCTTCAGAGACTCGCCTAGCTACCATGGCTGGGTAGGACCTGGCGTGTTGATTGCACCCGATCTCAATGATCGAGCGGCCTGGGTGAGCATGCGCGGCCGGCTTTGGAAGACTTCTCGAGAACAGCTGAGGCCAGCAACTCCAGAAGAAGAGCTGGGCGCAGAACTTGTAGTGGAGCTCACCAAGGACATGCTCGACAAACTCCATCGAAAACCAGGTCACACCCAGATTGCCTACCAGGACATCACCCATGAGACCTTCCCGGAAGATGCCGATCTGGAGGACGTTCATCGTGTCCTGCGTGTGGAAGAGGAACGACGTGAAGTGGAAGACACTCCCATGGAACGAGAAACCACTGACAGCACTCATCAACCTATGGCTGAGGAGGAGGAGTTTGACTTGCTGTCGAATGACACCACCATGACTCCAGATGCTTCTCAAACACAGAGCAGGAGGGCAAGCATTCAGACCGACACTGCTGAAGAGAAAGAGGCACTCCCGCCAATTGAGGAGGAGAACGCCATGCAGACAGAGGATCTCGGTCTCAGCTCCAACCTTCCTGAACGACGACAAATTCAAGTTGATGAGGGCTCCCATGGTTCAATGCATGTTGGACCACCTGCTCCAGTACCAGATCGCTCGAGGTCACCCCCGTTGACACGACCTCGGCCAAACTCAATTGCAGAAGTTCCTGAGACACCACCACTGGGCTATGTGCCGCCTTCAAGAGCAGCTTCATCAACGGCGCCAGCTATGCCGTATCCCTTTCAGCAGCAGGTTCCACCACTGCCGATACCGCCAGGCAATTCCTTCTACCTGGAGGTCATTGACTTTGATGGCGACGACATGCTTCGCCAGATGGGTTCGAAGTCTCCCTTCATCGGAGCCACTTGGCGCCGAGAACGAGGCCAACCTGAACCCGTCCTACAAGCACGGGCTCCCCGACAAAGCAAATCATTTGCTGCTTGGGAAGCCGAGGCAAGCTACTGTGACCAAGACCGCTGTATGTATGTGGTCAAGAAGGCAAAGTCAAGTTTCGGCCAGGTGGAATTCTCCAAGCTAGCTGAGGGTGAAAAGAAGAAGTTCAGGCAAAGCCGCTTGAAGGAGGTCAACAGCCTGATTCAAAACAAGGCAGTGAAGGTCCTCTCCCTGGAGGAAAGTTTGGCCTTTGAAGAGCAATTCCCTGAGCAGGTGATCAACTCCCGCTTTGTGGACCGCTACAAGCCGAAAGACGTTGGCCCTGACAAGATTGAGCTCTACAAAAAAAAGGCCATTGACGAAGGCATGTTGGAAGCAATTGCATTGGAGGAGGACCAGACAAACCCGAAGTCACGACTCTGCGTGATCGGTTGGGAGGACCCTCAGATCCACGAAGTGGAACGTTCTTCACCGACTCCTTTGTCGACCTCCCTGCATTGCTGCTTACAGCTAGCCGCCTCTCGCAAATGGCAGACAAGAGTTCGAGATGTCAAAACCGCCTTTCTTCAAGCCCTGCCAACAACTCGGAAGCGCAAGCTTGCAATTCGGCAACCACGCGATGAATCTCTGGAAGGATATGATCCTCGCCAACTGCTGCTTCTGTGCACCGAGGTCTATGGCTTGGTGAGCGGACCATCATGGTGGCGGCGAAGTTTGCTTAAGTTGGCCACTGAGGACTTAGGCTTTGAGGTGAACCCCTACGACAAGTGCGTGCTCACTTTGCCTTCTGCCGATCCGAGCAAGAAGCTGACTGAAGGCTTCCTCGTCATTGAGGTCGACGACATCGCTGAAGCTGGATCTGCGAGGCACCAAGAGTTGATGACTAAGATGGAAAGCATGCTCACGTTCGGGAAGGTGGACAACCTCCAAAGCAGCACTGGGTCGAATTATGCTGGACGACGACTCCGGCAAAGGCCCGACTTCTCCTTTGAGGCCGACATGGATGAGTTCATTTACACTCGCCTGCAGCCAATCGCCCTAGCTCGGCGCGTTCTGAAGAAGGACTCTGCGAAGGTCAAGCTGTCCGAGAACGAGAAAACGCAGCTGAGGGGATTGATTGCGAGTTTGAACTGGCTAGCTCGCGAGGGAAGACCTGATGTGGCAGCTGCAGCTTCGATACTGGCTTCAGCATTTCCAGAGCCTGCAGTGTCCCACATCCTGGCAGCAAATGCCATGGTCCGCCATGTGAAAACAAGCCCCATCAAGATGGTCATCCACAGCATCGAAGAGAAAGACTTGCGCAACATCCTTGTGGCTGACAGCAGTTTTGACACGAGCGGACGTGAACGCTCGCAGCATGGCTGGTTGCTTGGATTCACAAATCCTTGGTTGAACCAAGGACGAGAAGCTCCAGTGTCGCTCATGCAGTGGCGCTCCAAGCGACTGAGGAGGAAGGCCGCTTCAAGCCTGCTTTGCGAGGCAATCTCGCTCTCGGCTGCGACAGCCGCCCTTGAGCGGCAGGACGTGTTCATGGAGAGCATCCGCATGTCGCACTTCAAGCCAAGGGTGCGCCAGAAGTCAGAGGATGAAAAGCTGGCGGCAATGGGCAAAAGCACTGTCATTGCCAGCGAGTCAGCTTCGTTCTGCGACCCCAACTCCATAGTGGTCGTAGACGCAAAGTCCCTGTACGATGCCCTTTGCTCGGACCAGTGCTCCGGAGATGATGAGCGGTCAGCCTTGGAGATCGCAATCATCAAAGAGAGTTTGTCGATTGTGGGCGGGCGACCAAGATGGATCCCGCACAATTTCAATCCAGCTGACGCCCTGACCAAATTGGAAGGAGCGCATACTGGCCCTTTGATCGACCTCCTGAGAACTTCATCCATGAGGATTGAACAGGAGACCGAAGTCCTTCAGAGGGGAAAGCAAAGTGAGCATCGGATGAAGACTAGCTTTGGTGGACTTGAGTTTGGGGGGCTGAGTCACAGCATTTTGGAAACCGCATGTTCCATGAGCATTCCACCAAAGCATGAGTCCCACTGATGTTCCTCCCCGCAGACGTCTTGAGCTCCGACCTTGCGTGTTGAAACCGCGTGCGAGCGCGGTGCGTTTTTCATGTGCGAACTACACCTTTGTTCTTGAGGAATCCACGGATTCCAGGTCTGTCACTGTGCAACACATCTATGGAAGGACGAAGAAGAAGAAGAAAAAAAAGAAGAGCAAACAATTAGCATGATGTTCAGTCCAGCAGCTTACCAAGAGGCCCTTTGTTACAAGCTGTAAAGTATCCTGAAGCTACTAGTAACAAGGGCATCGCTATTAGTAGCAAGAAGCTACTAGGGGCGCTCCTGGCCTTCCTACTAGCAAGGTGATCCCTACCAACCTGGCACGGCACCAGACCGTTCATCGTGTGAAAGAGCTAGCATGAGCAGCAGCTGTTCTCGTTCCGGAGGCCAAGAAGGACACGGAGCTGCAGTTGATGTTTTATCCGCTGATCATCATGATGAGGCCCAGATTCGATGTTGGAAAAGGCTCCTGCCGTTGTCATTTTTGGAGGGGTCCTGCCGTCAGCCACACCGGCATGTACTTGGGAAAAGCATGTCAATCAAAGATTCGGAGCATCAGAATCCATAGCTCGTTGGAGAAAAAGAAACTCGACATGAAAAGAAGATGTTCTAAGTATGATGGTTCCACAAAACATGTTTCTGTCTCTTTCTATAAAAGAAACCGCCCCACCCCCGAAATCAGAGAACGGCTCCAAACGACGTCGGAATCGGACGTCGCTCCGGGTCTCACAGGCTCTTCCGGTCCTTCGAAGCTCAGCCACGACTGGCGCTGGTGTCGGCCACCCTCAAAACGGCGGCCACGCGGTGTTTGAAACGGCGGGAAAAGCGAAGCGGCAGCAGAGTTTGAGGTGGCGGAGGGGCTAGACCTTCTAGGGATGTCTCATCTTGATTCTCTCTTTTTTGGACTGTGAAGAGTCACATCTTCGGAGAAATGCAATGGCATCGGGTGATTGCACGAAAACACGAAGAGATTGGATGTTGGACTGTTTGGAAGAACCTGTTTAGGCCCGGAGGTTCGTCAAAAACCGAGCTCTATGTATGGTTGCGAGAACATCACATCAACCATACGGGTTAAAATGGTTTATAAACCGTTTCCAAATTGTTCTTGGGAATGTGTGGAACATGCCATGGATACAAGCCTACCAATTGAATTGAGAACATGAATCGAAGATTATCAAAGTAATATGACCTTTGAATTCAGGGCCATATCTTTTGAAACACGTTGTTTCTCTAGAGGGGCTGCAGCCGGGGCCAGGGGCCAGCCGGTCGCGTGTTTGCCCTTCGGAGTCCTTTGCTTCCGAAGGCTCCAGATCTGGGACATTTCTTCATGATCTTCTTGCAGCTTGGCAGCAAGGGCGGTGGGGAAGTAGCCCTTCGGGTGTTTTGCTTCGAACAAAAATACAACATAGACTGACTTAACGACCGAATCCAAGCTACTCTTGGCACTTCGTATGCCCACACGAGTCTGACATGTCCATGTTGTGGTGTGCCAACGAACCTTGGACAATCCCCACATTTGCGAAGACACACCACAACCATTCACACCATCCGTAGGAGACACTCCTTCCTGCCGGTGAGGTGTGTCTATTTGTGCTTCGTGGTCAGTAGCCTCTTGTTCTTCGGACAGGATCTCGAGACTTGGCTCAGTCGATTGGAGGGTGTCCATCCGTTGGGCTCTTCAGCCTTCAGTCGAGGAATTTCACGAAGGATTGAACATGAAGCGTGGTACCTCCTTCCGCTCTCGGTACCTTCTCTTTTTCGGACAAGAGCACAGGCCACCCGGTGACTTCGCTGTGGACTTTTCGACGTCGGTGAAGGAAAAAAGCAAAAGCTCGCCCTAATTAAGGAGAGCTTCAGCACCATGGACCGAGCCCTTCATACCTCCTTCTTGGCCATGTTTGGGGATTGGGATTGGAATGCCATGACCGATGTGGGCTCCTCGACAGCTGCGCATACCGCGTTGTGGAGGTTGGGACTGCGCGTCGTTGGGGGTTGCTGTTCATGTTGTTCGTAGTAGTAGGGGGCAGGGGGTTGCTTCACCTTGTTCGCGATGTCAAGAATGTCGCTTTCCAACGCATGTGGGACTTGCACAACGAGGTCTCAAAATGGGTAAGTAAATTGCCTTTCATCCTGAACCCTTCTGCTGAAGGGGTCTGGTCGTAGCTTGTGATCTGAGATGTCAGGAACTGGGTCCATGCCTTCACCTGAGTAAAACTCATGGGTCAATTTCTCAACATCAATGATTCAAGAAGCTTTCACTTAATATATGATGTTTTTTATTCTAGGCTGATGGAGGGCACTTGCTTTGCAACAAGAAGGCACAAGGCAGTTGTTTGATGTGTGTCTGTTTGGACTCCCGATCATTTCGGTCTTGACTTTTGAAACTGTTGAGAGGAAGATCTAAAGGACCATATACACAATTTGGTGTATACACATGTATACACTGCGGTGCCAGATGTCTTGTATCAAAATCAAGAGTGGTTGAGGGACGGGTCCCTCTAGAGTCTTGGACAAGCCCAGTCTATCGGTGAAGCAAAGCATAGTCCACACTCGCTAGATACTTGGTGTTCTTTGCCCTGCTGGTTGCCAGCACACTAAGGCATGTTGAGAGCTGCTGTGTGGTTTTGGGTCTTTATGGTGATGATGGTGCTCTTCATGTTGAACATGCTGCTGGCAATCATTATGGATGCCTATCAGATGGAGAAGCTAAGTCAACGAAAAGAGGTTTTGCACATGTTTGACCGATGACAAAACAGGTGTTGGTGAATCTGACTCTCCAGTTTGACTTCTTTCAAGCTTTTGGCTGGCCATACGACATACCATTGTTTCGAGACAGAGCATGACATGATGAGCTGTCCGGGAAGATTGTTTTTAGTGTCATGGAGTTGTATGAAATGATCCTGCACCACCTCGAACCATTGCAAGTTATGGGAGCCCTGCACCTTCCTACTAATTGGTGCAAGATATCTTCTTTGAACAGTTGCAGCATAGCCTGCAGCGCCTGTTTGTGGACTACCCCACAGTCCCGCACTCATCGAACATCCAGCGCCCGTGTCCCCACCCGCGAGGGGGTCGAACGCGTTCGTCGAGCGTGGCGCTGAGGAAGTACAAAACGTCGGATGCCACGACCTTGTGGCAGCAAATCCTCGACATGATCGAGCGGAGACGTCAGTACATACGCGGCGAGCGCGTGCGCTTGACTGATGTTTGGAAGACCTTCAGGCGGGTTCAGAGCCGAAAGAGGAGAAGTGAGATATGAGGAATGGTATGTATGATGGATGGCAACCTCTAATTACAGGTTTGGTAGCCAGCATCTAGTTCCCAAATGTTCTAAAACCATCTAAAACCAACATGCTAACCTGAGTCAGGAGTTACAACAAAGGGTGCGAGAAGGGACACTTCAATAATTCAAAGACAACCCTTTTGAAGGACATGGATTTATTGGGGGGGGTCTCAATGTTTCGTTTGGCCCACTAAACAAAACCCTTCTTTCAAGTCTATATATAGGTTTAGTTTGGGATCAGTGGTTCTCAATCAAGGTTCCTTTCATGATGTGTAGGGAGATACCTGGTTTGAGATACGAGAGACTGACGCAAAAATGGCGTCGACGCATCGACGTCTCGACGTTCGACCGCAGACGTCAATATGCTGGAAAAGAGAAAGCCATGCTCTCCAGCGAGACTTGGACCAGTCCCCGGGAGCTGTGGCAACTTGTATGGACCTGTCACATCCGGGGTTTCCCTTGGTTTGAGAAGTTCATGTTCAAAAATAGAATATATACATGTACATCAGGTCAATTTCACATGTCTGGTCTCCATGAACGTTTGAGAGATACAGAGAGTACATTCAAGATAAGAAGATCATGTTTGCTAGTTGAGTGGCTAGTTGCTTGGCACTTTGGACTGAACACCCTCTCGTTTTGCGGAAGTTTGCGCTGCATGCAGAGCTGTTTGTCGTCGGACCCACAGACACCGACAGCGTCGTTTTCCCAGGACCAGCTGCTCTCGGTGGAATATCTGGTGAACACCGTGACACGGATGCCCGAGCAGCAAGCCTTGAGGACCATGGTTCATTCCTTAAAGCGTGATGACATCCTCACCCACGGCCTCTTGGAGGACGAGAAAACGGTTTCGGTGTCTTTGGTGTGTGTGTGTGTGTGTTTCGTCAGTGTTTTCTTTTGGTGGGTTGGGGGAAATTGATCGACTCGATCGATTCCGGTGATTGTGTCAATCTCCATTTAGGGATGCGGAGCTTTCCTCCACAGCCCTCCAACGCGTCTTGTTGTGACAAAGCTCCGAGCCGAGCCGCGTTGGTCTAAAGCCGCACTGAGGCTTTATGACAGAAGAGCAGGTCAACAAACATGTGGAGAAGACCTTGGGCTCAATGGAGCTGAAGATCAAGGCCCATGGAACACGTGGAGAGCGACAAATCCAGGCTCCGAATGTAGTTTAGATGATCCCTACCCCCTTAGGTACCTAGGTACCCCCCTTGATAGGTAGGGATTTTAGATGTTTGTTCATGTTGTGCCACTGTTGGCACATGCTGTTCTTTTGTGCTGTTCAAACTTCGCAAAGATCGGGGGCTGTTCAAGAGCACAGCCTCCCCTCCAGGCCAGCCTGGCAGCGCAGGGTGCGGCCACGAAAGCGGGTACATGTAAACAGTCCGCAGTCTTCACTGCGGACTGTTTGGTCCGCATTGGGATCCTTGGCGGGCCCATCCTTGCCCTTAAGGTATTTGTTGGTTTCCTTTCTGGGATAGTCAGACTCTGGGATGTGAAGCAAAGAAATTTGGACCCTACTGTAAGCTTTGGTATAGGAAATCCTCCCATCGAAATCGTCTCCACTATCGTTGCCTCGAACGCTGAGTCCAGGCTCCAGGTCAACCAGGGAGACTGAAGCATGTTGCCTTGACACTGGAGCAACGGTGGGGCCCGGGTTCTTTTAGACTGCTCATTGTCATGCCGGAGCAATCATGCTTCCCTGAACAGTCTTGGATTGTTGTCATGTGGAACCCCTATTTTTCCGGACTTTTTTTCGTTCGCTTTTTTTTTCCCCTACTGCTTTTGCTGTTTGCTTTTGCTTCTGCTTTTGCTATTTGCTTCTGCTTTTGCTTTCTGCTTTTGGCCTTTCCTTCTGCATTTGCTTTCGCTTTTCTTTTGCTTTTTGCTTTTCCTTCTGCTTTTTCTTTTGCTTTTTGCTTCTGCTTTTGCTTTTGCTGACTATCTTCTTTGCATTGACACTGCCACAAAGTTGGATGATAAGACCTTCACCTTGAGCTTTGACACCCAATTACACCAATCAAGAAACGAAGCAGCCCAGCGCTGTCTATATTTGATTTGCATTCAGGGGGAGGCGCTGGGCCCTCCTCCGCCCCCCCTCCCGCTTTGTTTTAAAATAGTTGCCACTACCGTCCACCACCCCTACTATTTCCAATACCTCTATCACTTGGACCACCCCGCTACGAGTCTTACCACAGTTACCACAACTACTGTTTTCTTTGCATTGATGCTGCCACAAAGGTGGATTTCTACTTTGCTTAGCCCAAAGAACCCGAAACCACTGAAACCCAAAGACAACCGCAGAAAAGTCCCTATTATAGTTCCTCTCTCCTCCTACTTCTCCTTCGTTAAGTGGGATGCCTTTTCCGGAAGAACGCCTAAAGAAACCCTAAAGACAAGAAACCGAACCCAAAGAAACCCGAAACCAGTGAAGCTAAAGACAACCGCAAAGAAGTCCCTAGTAAGTGGAATACCTTTTCTATTCCCTCCCTTTGTCACTGTCACGCTGGCTTTGGTGCTTCGTCCCCTGCCGTTTCTGCTGCTCCTAGTGCTTGTAAAGCACTCCCAGCAGAAGCAAAAGCAAAAACAGTAGGGGAAAAAACGTGAAACAAAGTCCCGGAAAAAATGTGAAAAAAGAATCCGGAAAAATATGCATCCTTGTCATGTCTCAAGAGTTTTGCGGGCTTGCATGCTTGCACTTGTACCCTGAATCTCGATGACTCCCTTTTTGGCGTTGCAAGACATTCACGCCCCACGAGAGCACCCCACCGAAATCGCACTCTCGGTCCAATAATTCTGTTGAGCAAAAACCCTCCATTTGGATTGTGCAACCTCTTCTGATGGGTAGGTTGAAAAATGTTGAAATATCATCACATCAGTCTCCAGGCGATACTGGAGGATGTGGAGTTCATCAACGACAAACTGGACTTCTTCGACCGTTTGTTGGCGCCTGGAGACGCGGAATACGACTTCTACTTCGGCGCCGATGGGCAGTCGCACGACCAAGCGAGCAGGCCGCCGCCGAGTGGAGGGGTGGCGGTTTGGAAGTGACCGTTTCTGCGTGCGCTGTGAAGTCAACGGAGGGTGGTCAGTGGGTGTGAAGAGTTTTCCCGCAACCAACAGCTGTAACTACGACAGCTGTAACTGGTTGGTGGACATGGAGGAAACAAGAAACAGAAAAGGAACCCAAGTTTATACCTGTGGCACTCGGCAGTCTCCCAACAATGTAGATGAATAATGTACTGCATTATGATTGAAACAAGAAATGCTGTGCTACCTTGAACCGCTTTCAAGTAAAACTGCCAGGTAGTTTCACTTTTCTTTACCACCAGGGCATCACGGCGCACATGCACAACAAGAATTTGGTCCGAGAATGGGGACAAAAGCATCCAAAGACTGGAGATGTGACAATTGTGACATATCTGAGAGTTTGCAGAGGTCAGTCAAAATCTCGCAACGGCATCTCCATACATGTTGCCTGAGTTTAAAGGGTGACCTGGCTACTTGTAGTCAGTCTAAAACCGTAAAACAATTGTTCGGGATTGAGGCTAAATCATTGGGCCAGAGGCCGCCTGGGGATACATCAGGTCATCCGGTGTCCTTCTTCGCAGGTTGTGGATCTACAACTCCATCACCGCCATCTCCGAGGAGTTGCAGCAGAACTTTGTGCGGGGCATCCAGCGCATCGGAACCTGGCAGGATGAGTTCGAATGCGAGCGCCCCGGTCAAAAGCCGGGGAGACACCCGAACTCTTGGGAGACGGCCGGAGCGAAACCATTTCTGCGTGAAAAGAGGCAAACTCTCGGAGTTTGTGCCCTTTTTTTTGGGGGGGGGGAGGAGACCTGGGGTAGTACCTCGACCGGGCGGGGAGATCGGTCACGTCCGCGCGAGTGCAGCGAGCCACATGAGTGTGGCACCTTTTTGGACCGCAAGGTTCATGTTCACCTTGTGCGAAAGAAGAACCGAGAGACGGAGGTTGAGGTTGGGCTCTCAAGGTGAGTGGAAAGATATCTCAGTTGCTTGAGGTGTTTTTCTCTCCCGAGGTCCAGGTCTTCAGACCTAAAGATCGCGAGAAGTGTCGATCTTGGCTGGGATTTGTAGAAAGGAAACATGGCAGACGAACATGTGGTGGCAGCTTGGCTGGCCATCCCAGCCCATCAGATTCTCTCCATCCTGAGTCCGATGCGAGAAATCGAGGCTTCGTATTGTGAGTGTGGCTGCTTTTCATTTGCAGAAGCCGATGGCTCCATGGACCTCTGGGTTTTTCATGGTGGCTCCAGCCTCTGAGGCAGACGGAGTTGGCGGATGGCTTGCGCGAGTTTGAGCAACTGCTGGCACAAAGCCTGGAAGCCTTGCAGGAGTTGCCTCTTGGGTCAGTCGGTCGGGTGCCGATGTGGCGGCATGTCAGGTGGGTGGGCATCGGGCATCAAAAAGGAAAAAACAGGTGCTTTACTAGTAGTAACAAAAAGCTACTAGTGCTAGTAGTCTCATAGGCCCGAGCATCGCTAGTAGTAACAAGTGCCTTACTAGTAGTAACAGGTACTTTACTTCGAGTGTTCCCCACCATGACATTTCAATCATTTGTCTTGATGCCATAGTGAGGAGCATGTTGCCATGGTCGTGAGTATTGTAGTTCTCGATTTTGCTTGTGGGTCCTCGGGTTGTGTGCTGTGGTTGTGTGCTGTGGTTGTGGTTGTGTGCTGTGTTGTGGTTGTGGTTGTGGTTGTGGTTGTGATTGTGTGTTTGTGGCTGTGTGTTTGTGGTTGTGTGTTTGTGGTTGTGTTTGTGGCTGTGTATTTGTGATTGTGTTTGTGGTTGTGTGTTTGTGACTGTGTTTGTGGTGGTATGATTTTGTTTGTGATTGTGGTTGTGGTTGTGTGCTGTGGTTGAAGTCCGGCAGGGAACACTTGGGCCTGGAGCTCGCGGTTGAGGTCCGGCAGGGAACACTGGGCGTGGATGGTCGCGGTTAAGGTCCGGTGGGGAACACTTGGGTCTGGAGCTTGCGGTTGAGGTCCGGCAGGGAAAATTGGACGCGGATGGTCGTGGTCGAAGTCCGGCGGAGGAGGAGGAGGACGAGGCGGAGGAGATGGGGCTGACGTGAAATCTCACAACCCTCACCTGACAGGTGTGGAAGAAGGACTAGGTCCCCTGGTCCTTAGGTTCCCTGGTCCTTTGGTGCGCTGGTCCTTTGGTCCTCTGGTCCCGTGGTCCTTCGGTCTCCTGGTCCGCTGGTCTCTCGCTCTCCTACTCCGCCACTGCCGTCCACTACCCCTACTATTAAATTACCAGTGACTCTATCACTCCGACCACCCCACTACGTGTCTTACCACAGTTACCACAACTACTATCTTCTTTGCGTTGACGCTGCCACGAAGGTGGATGATAAGGCCCACCTTTGCCTAGCGTGACAGCCAGAAACCTTCGCTTAATAGGAAGCGCTGTGCCCTACGACAACGACGACGACGACGACGACTACTACTGTCCTTTTCTCATGCTATTTTTCTTCGCTGTGAATATATGTGGATATCTTTTTTGAGCCTTTTTTTCTTTTGATCCCTCTTGAATATCTTGGAATGCTGATCTTTTTGATCCCTCACCCAGGTGGGACCTAGGAATTTCATATTTCGTCCATCCGTGGCCGCATGGTCACGAGTTCCAAAAGCGAAACGGTGAGGCCAAGACACAGCGTACAGGCGGTACAGGGGCCGTTGAATGAGTAATGAGACGTTGCCAATGGATGGACACACCATGAGATCTGACTATAGATTCATCTAGGCTTGGACATGAGGAATATTTCTCAAATGCCAGGATTCCCTAATTCATGGCCCCTCAGAGAGTTTGTTTTGGTGATTGGTGCTAGCATGCGCTGGCGCAACCTTATTCTGCTAGAAATCCACCTGAAAGCCGAGACTGGAGCACCAAGGTCAAATGTTGTGGAGGGCATGGACAAAGAAATCTGATGCCTGTTAGATGCTCGAACGAACCAACATGCCCATTCAAAACGGCAAGATCAGAGAGCAAAATGCTCCTGATGGAAATATGCCGAATAAAAAAAAAATATATATATATATGTATGTAATCGCTACTTAAAAAATATACCAGCATAGACCCCAAAGAGCTTAGTCGGCAAGAACTGTTGTTGTGGTGGGGTGCGGCCGCAGCCCCAGCCCCTGCCTTGGACAGCGACCTAAACAGTAGGACAACAGAGGACAAAAGGATGAGGGAATGAAAAAAGGACAAAAGAAGGCCAAGCTGTGACCGGACAACACCAAAAGGACAACAGGGCAAGGAAGAAGGACAACAAGAAGGCAATAGAAGAACTGTGGCCAGCAAGAAGAGGACAACAGGAGGACAAGGAGATGACATCGGCTTCTGGGGGGCTTTCTGGAGTTGTCTTTCAAGAGGAGGACAAGAGGAGAGCAGGAGAAGGACAAGCTCCGGATCCAGCCTTCAGGGGCGCGGCCAAGGAGGACAAGGGAAGGAAAACAGGTGGACACGACGAGGACAAGAGAAGGACAAGACGTGGACAAGACGAGGACAAGAGGTGGACAAGACGAGGACAAGAAGTGGACAAGACGAGGACCGGATACAGAGCCCGGACATGGAGTTTAGGGCCACGGCCAGACAGTGTGGCCAGCTTATTTTTCCTAAGAGAGAACCCGAACCCCAATAGTAAATTGCTTGGTGAAATATATATATTAAAAATACTGTGTATTTTCAACATCATAGTATTATAATTATTCAATGTTGTATAGTTCAGTTGTTTTAAATATCGAATATTGTAATATGATTGTGATTGGATTATATATTCTTAAATAGAAAATTGATATTGATAAGGAATTTTATTTTATATATAAATAGGTTTTGAAAATATTGATTATTGATGGTTTAATTCATAAATTATTGTATATAAGATTTTTATTATTTATTAAAGACATTTTTTATAATTGAATTCGAATGAGAAATTTTTGAAAATATTTTAATCAAAATTTAAAGTGAAAATTCGATTATTTCTATATGTTTTCTTTAATGATATTTATTTTTATGAATTTATGATTATTATATAGGGAAAATATTTATGATATAGATATAGATGGGTTTTTAATATTTTTGATTAATGATTGATTGGTATATGAGATTTAACGATGATATTATATTATTTAATTAGAAAAATACGATAATTTTTTATGTTGAATTTTATGACGAATTGTAATTTTTAAAATTTATAGATTACTACTAATATTACGGACTGGGGTGCGATCGAGCAAAAATACACGGATTTCTGAAGCAAAATGTTCGAAATAATCGGATTATTTCCTACATTTTCGTCTTTTCATTTTTAGTCTTGGCTCCCTCATAATTGGTCTACGGCTTCCGTCGCGGTCCGGAACCCCCCAAATAATTGCATTATTTCATACATTTCGATTTTCAATTACAAGAAAAATCCAATTATTTCATATATGTTGCTTTCGTCCTCCGGCATGTACCACTAAGCAATTCGGCTACGTTCCGACGCCGTCGGTCCCGGGTTCGAACCCCGCATGGTCCACCACAGACAGCCTTGACTCATCATGTCGAAATTGTTCGCAGCGACCGACCCTGGGTCCACATTTCTCACTTCGTTCCTACGTGCTCATCGAGCATTTCTTGGACGCGTGCGCCAGCGCTTTCCGCTGCAACGTTCGGACGCGTGCGCAAGGGAATAAGGCCTTACCATAATATTTTATTAAAAATAACTATACGCGTGAGCCCGTCGCAAGTTCAATACTTGTGTTTGATGCTTTGACAGAGTACACTTGTGTGGCATTGATAAAGCTTGAACATACATACACATATATGCATTCTTCATTCTGGCTTGTTGTGACTGCGCCGGTCACTTTCTCCATGTTCTGAATGACCTTCTGCTCGAGTTGCCTTTTGCAGCTTCAAAGAAAGGTCTTGGCATTGTTGGCAAATGCGAGACAGCATCATGCAAACTAGCAATATCAGACTATACGGTGCTCTTTGCAAGCATCATGGACATTGCACAATATTGTGTGTACATTGGAGACAGCTTCTTCCACAGAAGCATTATGAAAAGAAAGAAGTTTCTTTGCAAGCACGAATTGGGTTTTCTCAAAACTGATGGTGCCCTAATCAGCGCGATTTTCACTTCTTTAGCAGTCCTGCTGCTGCAGCCATTTTGCCACTTGCGTGTGGCCCGGCAGAGGCGCAGCTGCTTCCGGGGGTCACAATCTTGAAGTCATAAATAGCTGCAATGATGCTAGGCATGGTGTATATTCGCGATATCAATTTTGCTTTCCAAAATTCCCAAAGTAATGCAAACATTTTCGGTTCTCATGGTGTGGAATACCGGAGCTTTTTCTACCGATCGTTTGCGCTGCTTGTTGTTTGCCTTCCTGGTTTTTACCGTGGGTTTGTCCACGAGTTTTGCGGCCAGGTTGGAAGGCGAAGCTAAAGCCCAGGGAGATTGCTACCTTGCCCTTGCAGGAGGACCCAGCTGACAACATACGTTCCAATAGCTTATCACCTATATGCTACAGTCTACAATATCATAATCTGTATCGTATACTTGTACACTATATTCAGGAATATGCTTTCGGCATGGTGCCTCAGACCTGTCGAACAAGGGAGCGAGCTTAGCGTAATTCTGGATGGATTTGGGCTGGACTCTGAATGGATTTAAGGGCTTACGCCTGACAGCCGGGAGCCTGGCAGCATCCTTCAATGTGGAAGGGGGCTTACCGCCCGAGTGTGTGTAAGATACACCTCAACTCGGGAGAACCGTCTCTGTCTCTCTCTCTCTCTCTCGCTGTGTCGCGGTCTTGCTTTGTTTCTCTCCCGTTCTATGTTTGTTGCCTTCGCTTTCTGTGCCGGCCCAACACAGGGAGAAAGTCAGACGGTAGAGGGGATAGAGGCAAGAGACATGAGGCGACGGGGGCCGGGACTTCGGGCATCCTGGCAGCGTCCTTCAATGTGGAAGGGGGCTTACCGCCCGAGTGTGTGTAAGATACACCGCCGGTCGGGAGAGCCGTCTCTGTCTCTCTGTCTCTCTCTCTCTCTCTCTCTGTGTCGCGGTCTTAATTTGTTTCTCTCCCGTTCTATGTCGGTTGTCTCTGCTTAGTCTCTCTATGTCCGTTTCGCTGTTTCTTTCCCTCTCTCTGTCTCTGTCTCTGTTTCTCTCTGTCCATTTCGCTGTTTCTTTCCCTCTCTCTGTCTTTGTCTCTGTCTCTTTCTTTGTGTCTGTCTCTCTCTCTCTCTCTGTCTGTCTGTCTGTCTCTTTGTCTGTCTGTCTCTCTGTCTCTGTCTCTCTGTTTGTCTCTCTATGTCTGTTTCTCTCTTTCTGCCTGTCTCTTTCTCTCTCTGTCTGTCCCTGTCTCTGTCCCTATCTCTGTCTGTCTCTCTCTCTCTCTCTCTCTGTGTCTCTCTGTGTTTTTCTCTGTCTCTTTCTGTCTCTCTCTGTCTCTCTTTGTCTCTCTCTGTCTCTCTCTGTATCTTTTTGTGTCTCTCTGTGTCTCTCTGTGTCTCTCTGTGTTTCTTTGTGTCTCTCTGTGTCTTTTCGTGTCTTTTTGTCTTTCTGTATCTTTGGTTTTGTATATTTTTACTTATATTGTTATATTTTGATGTTATTTTGACCCATGTATTTGTTTTCGTATTTGGGCTTTAATATGAAGGTATTGTTGGATAGGATCGACGAATTTTGGGTGGATGACGGCTTTGGCATTCG